GCATTGAATCCACGTGCCAGGCCTAGGCACGAAAGCATCGATGTCCGTTTGTACACTGAGAAAAAGAAATCAGATTACCTTGATTTCTACAACGATCCTTGTCTTGATGTGTTGGTTTGGACATTCCAAACATTTTACATCAATGAGACGGGACGGGACTGACAACCTTTTGACATGTGCTCAAAGGCTGCTTCTTTGAGTGTGCATTGTACTTGTACCCACCTTTTTCCTACAACCGTTGCTTTGGCCTGAACCTGAGGAGGGAGAGTGGATGAGCGTGGATGATTTTTTCCAAGAGAAGGCTCCAGCGGACGTTAAAAAACGCGTGAAAACCTTGGCTGCCAAGAAGAACTGGCTGGTGAAAGAAGCTCAGCCTGCAGTCACCTCTTCCAGCCTAAGTTAGCTATTTTATAGCTACAGGCTAGCCACCGTCCCTTTGACCCTCGTCCATGTCCGTGACACATTGGAAAAACATCCGCATCTCATCCCTAGCCCAAGCTCAGGAGAAGGGTCTGGTCATCCAACAGGACCCTGGGTGCCGCATTGTTTTGTTTCAGGCCACAGGTCAGTCAAAACTACAGCTTTCGACCTCACCCTTTCTGTAGGATGACCGTGGAGTGGATGGAGTCATCATCATGCCAGATAACAAAAAGCGGAAGGTTCGTGTTGGTGCAAAAATGGAGAGCTCTTCAATCAAACGGTCCGAGTTCGAGAACCATGCGGAGCGTGACGAGAAGCAGAAGAAAAATGCACAATCTTTTGCAATTCAGTCCAATGACAAGGCCAGAATTCATGGGTTTGACCGGGGGTTGCAATGCCCACCACAGGTTTAGTTGGGGGCACACAAACAACTCAGGGAGCTGAGCAAACTCATATGTTTTCCTGAGTAGTTAGGTGCTTGCATCTCTTTTCCCTCCCCCTCTCCATTGTCATCAGAAAGTGGACAGGACGTGGTGGACAAGGCCATGTCGGAAGAGCCCGAGGAGGCTGTGGACCCCATTGAGGAGATGCCCAGTGAAGCCGAATCTGATGCATCCTCCGGCAGTGGTTTCTTTGGGGTCAAACACGCGAAGCCTGTCAAGGAGAAGCAGCCTGATGCCAGGACAGCACCATCGAGAGGTCCTGTGAAGCCTGAGGCAGAAGAAAAAAAACATGAGAAATTGTTGGCGAAGGCCAAGTCGACCCTTAGCACATTGGAGGCATTGTCTCCAATGGCCATTTGGCAGGGCACTGTGAAGGAAAAGGACATTGGAAGCCGATTGGAAAAGGCCGGCCAGGTCATCACCAGCCTTGAGAAGGATGGCCGTGATGATGCCAAGTCTCTCATTGCTGATTTGCAGACGTCCATGATGGCTGCCGAGACCCATGTGCAGCTCCTTTGCACAGATATGGCCTATGACTCTCTGGACGAGTTGGACAAGATTTTGCCACATGTTGTCGACAAGGTGGCCAAATTGCCATCAGACTGCTTGAATGCCATCATGAGTGATATTGGCAAAAAAGTGATCCAGGACTGTGCAACCTCTTTCGTCCTTTCATCTTTTCACTGTTTGCCTCTCCTGGTTGGGCCCAATCAGAAATGGGTACCCGCCAGTCTCCAATCAAATTAGCATCCCTTCCGACAGTGTTGCAAGACTTCTGACTTGACTTGACTGCAGGACTTGGCTCAGGGGTCCGTGGCAGATACCTTTTTCTTCGACTTCATCAGTTCGGATGATGCGGATGTGAATGCCAAGGATAAGGGGCTTTCATTGCGGGCTTTGCTCTGTCGGCGCGATTCTTGTTCTATGAGTCTGGTGGACTTGCTGAAGCTTCAGTGCTCACTTGGCAACGCATGGATGGACAAGATTAAGTCATTGCAGCCACAAGACGTGGACAAGTTTCTGCGTTCAATTCCTGGCAAGCTGTGGAATCCAGAGCTTGCGAGGCCAGAGTTGTGAAGTTACGCTCAGGGGGAAACGGGCATGTTGCTTGTAATGTCAGAAGTTGTGGAGTTGTGGCCGGGTCAGGGGCGGGGCCATGTTCATTGTCCAAATGCAGTTGTTTCCTTCCCTGCAGGAAATGTGCAGAACATCCCACTAGCGATGCCCTTCACGAAGACTACAAAGTGCTGAGTCCCAGGGTCGTCATTGACCTTCACAAGTTCCTGAGCTGTGCCAAAGTTTTGGATGAGAAGGAACCATTTGGCATTGAGCTGGTCAGGAGCCTGAAGACCATTGCGGCTCTGGCAAGTGCCACTTCACCTCGCGTGAACTTGATGTTTCGGAGCAATCCGCGTCTGAGGAGCCCACAATGTTCAGTTCTCCCTGGTCTGGTCTGTAGCCGGCAAGGCCAATTTGTTTTATTCTAATCATAACTTAACTAAATTAGACGTTACATTTTTGACATTTGGCAACTCACATTTGGGCAGGAGCCTTTGGCAACAAGCCTTGACAGCTTCTCAGAATTCCATCTCTGAGGAGAATGCTCTTGCAGAGTGCGACACAATGGTTTCAGATTTGACAGTGCTGGGTGAGCTGCTCCAGCAGTTTGCGAAGGACAAGAACACTCCGGCCCTGGAGCAGGCAGAAACTCAGATCCAGAAATGCCAGCGAGCATTGGACCTGGTGAGCATTTGCAAGACTTCGACGCATGAACTTGCTCCTGGGAAGGTTGAGTCTTTGACGCGAGCAGTGACACTACTTCAAGAGACAGTCAATGGCACGTTGCGTGCATCTGACAAGTTCAGGTCCTTCGTGGAATCACTTTGGGCTGCGGCTGACGACCTCACAGTGCCTGATGCTACAGTGGCATTCAGCAGTGGGGACCAGGAGGTTGAGATGAATGTGAGATGCTTTTTGGGATTCCTGACTGTTGAAGGTGAGGGTGGGTCAGGGTTGCCAAACTGAAACTCCGATTTTATGATGTGCAGTGATGATGTGTATTTACTGGTTCAAGTTTAAGGTTTGTTGGAGTAGTGGCTGGGGCATATAATTTCCATAAACCTGCAGGAGCTGTCCAAACACGAGTTCTTCAGCTTGCAGGCGACAACAGCTTTCTGCAGGAAACAGCGCAGGCCCTCTATGACTACATTCTTGCTTGTCCCAATGCCGAGTCTTTGGCTTTGCGTGCGTGCTGTGACTTTGCATCAAAACTTGAGAAGTTGGCTGCCAGGATCACTGCAAAGGAAGTGGCCCAGGATGGTTGGGCTCATGCATTTTTGACAGCCGTGAAGCGCTTCAACACCAATTTGGAGGCGCTTGCTTCCAAGTGGATTGCAGCTGTTTTGCAGGAGAAAGGTGCCGATGCTGCTTGGGGCTATGTCAATGGCTGCCTCCCGAATCTTCCCAAGTACTTGAAGTCTCACCAGTCCATCTTGATGCAAGCTTCGTTTCTGGAAGGGCTCACTCAACCGAAGGCCACAGATGACCTGAGTGAGTTGTCAAAGCAGTTGAAGGCTTATGTCACCATCAAGACATCCATTCAGCACAAGGCCTTGAGTCAGCTCTTCCCTGAGCGCTTGGAGAAGGTGGTGGAGTTTGAGGACCACACGTCCAAGAACATCATCACATTCTTGCAGAGGTTCCGGAAGTCCGAGACCAACAAAGCCAAGGTCCACATTGACCAGCACAGGCGGACTGTGTTTTTCAAGTTGGGATTCGGGATTCGGGTGTTCAAGTTTTTTGTTATATTTTTAGACTCAGACTGAGTGGGCTCCGTCATGCCAAATGTTTTTCCAAACATTGAGTTATGGAAGGCCAGTGCTTGCTGCTATTGAGATGTGGCAGCTGGATGAGCATAAGTGGATGTTCCAGGAGGAGAACAAGGATGCCCAAGCGCTGATTGAACTGCTCATGGACTTCATGGAGAGGACGTTGCCCCACTGCACATTCTTGAGAAACTCTATGGCTTTGAAGACACCTTCCTTGAAGTCCGATCCTGTGATGTTGGAGCTGTCTCAGACACAGTCAGATTTGGAGGCTGGTTGCTGTTCAAAAACTATAAACAAATTGTCCCTCCATCCCATCACTGCTTATCTACACTTGACTAAGTCAATGTTGTTCAACTCTGTTGATAGGAACTTCGAGGCGTGGCCAAGAACCAGATTGCCTTCATTGGTTGCACCCAGACAGTGGTCGAGTATGAGAGCGCACCACCGGAGGAGCAATTGAAAGCGGCCAGGGAGTCAGCCGGCTTCATCAGCAAGAGCCTTGGGATGTCTGTGAAGGACTTGCCCGATCAGCTGAGGACAAGGTTCGAGTTGTTGGGAAAGAAGCTGCCTTCTCAACCAGAACCAAAGCGGAGGACAGCTAAGCGGACACCACCGGCTGCTGGTGCCGGCGCCAAGGCCGAACCCAAGGTCAAGGCGGCAAGAAAGAAGAAGGGTGAGGCTGCAATCTGAAGAGTTTTGAGTTCGGGCTTAGATTCTTAAATCAGCCATTTTTGAGCTGAGCATTTTGGGGTGCAAACAAATGATGTTTGCAAAGAACTTCTTTCAACTGTAGTGCGGAGTGCCACAGAAAGGTGTGCAAATTGAGCAAGGGACCTCTTAGAGAGGAGAAAAAAAGGGTTCTCAATTTTGGACCGCCTGCATTAAGGTCAACACATTTTTTGGACAAAGCAGGTCCTGGTGGTTTATATACAGTCCACACATTTTATATATAGTTCCTGTATGTTCCTGTATATTTATATATATAGTTCCTGTATATTTATATATAGTTCCTGTATATTTATATATAGTTCCAAGGTACCAACAGACAAAGAGGCCCACGCACCCCCCAATTTATTTCAGTTTTCTTTTAAACATAAATCACTTTCTGCGGAAATGCTTCGCGAAGCCTGTATACCTCAGTCCGCGCAGCCTCACGAAGCCTCACGTGGAAGGGAAGTATCGATAATGTATAATATAAGTGCAATACCACCAACGGGGTGTGCGGATGGATCCAGACTTGGATATACATTATATATATATATTTATATTTATAGGTCAAAGAACACAATGTTCATCCATGAGTCCTGTCCTGCTTCTCGTCTTTCTCTGGCTCTCGGAACCTTGCTTGTGCAGTGAAAGAAGCTGCACTTCTGGACATGTACATTGCAATGAAACATTGTTGCGGTAATGTTGCGGTCAAGTGGTCTTTTCTCAAGTGAAGGCCGAGAGCTGCCTAAGAGGAACAAATCACTATCCTTCCACTATCCTTCTTTCAACACATGCATTGCATGTTTTACTTACTACATTTGACGGGCACAAACACCGACGGGAAAATTATGTCAGCTATTCCAAGCTGATGGGTCGTGGAGGCCAAAGTATCTTGGGCCAAACTACATCAAACATCCGACAACATATGCGAATGCTTGTAATGAAATTAAGGGGTCCCCTAAGCTAAGCACGTCTGACAATAGAAACTAATGAGCCTCCGCTGGTTAAGGACCTCCTCCGCTGTTTGATCCAGGGAAGTTGAGATCAAATCAACAGCATCTCCTTCAACAAGACACACCCGGTGGCCAAAAGAGAATTAGATTGGGAACATATGACTGCAGAACTGTTGCAGAACCTTGGTGGAAGATTGATTTTACAAACAATGGACATCCTGATAAAATAATTCCTATCTTGTTGAGTATCGAGTATTTCAAAACAAGGAAAACCACGTTCCGCGCAGCTCACGCGCCTGGCGGTGGCTCCACGGAGTGGCTCCTCCTCTGCCACTCGGCGCCAGCGATCCAGCTTCATCAACACGAGCATCAACGACTTGGATTGAAAACACTCCATCGATCGTTCTACCTTTAGACCCTTTTTTTGTTTTCTTTCTAATTACCTTAAGACGCAAGATAGCTCACGCTTCTTCAAGGAAACTCTCCCCGCCGCCCTAGAGGTGGCCGGTGGGAGCTTCCTTGAAGACGCGCTCGCACTATTCATTTGGTTCCTAGATTTTTAAGGAAACTTAACTTATCTATCCCATTTGGTTGGAAAGGAACTGGCCTCCATGAAGGTTTTGGAGCATACTCTCTCCTGACTCTGGGCCGTTGATGAGGCTTACCCAGGCTTAGAGGTACACGTGGATCACTGCGTTCGGGCCGCCTGCGTCACCTTCAAGCAGGTAAGAGGTTCAGGACAACAGACCTTCCAGTTTTGCCTCGAGAAGGGAGTAGAAAGGAACATCAAACATTGACAATGCCATTTTATCACCATGAATCTCTGCATTTTGTGTGCCAACCCCCCAATGCAAGAAGGTCACCCAATTGGATGTCTTAGCAAAAAACATCAACCCGCGATGGTTTGTCGGGGTCTTGGATTACCTTTGATAGCCATGGAATGAAACCTACAGAAAACCATCCTTTGCTACGCAAGTAGGTTTTTCAAATCTGTTTCCTGGATACCGTATACCAAGCCATTCCAAACATTTCTGGCCTACACTGTTGCTCTATCATCATCACCACTGGACAAGCCTTCCGAGGTGCTTCGATCCGCTTCTGTTGTCGTGGTTTCTGCTCCATGACCTCTAACAAGAACTGGAGGATGGACTCCTCACTCGCCCCAAATCGGGAGGGCAACGATATTGCGACGATGGACATCAAATCAATCTTCCTTGGCAGTATGAGAATGATTGAGAATGTCTCATGAAATTTATGAGCAGCTTATTCCCCAAACAGTGTGGCCACACTAGGGGTTCTTACGGTAGTAGTTAAGCACCGGTGTCTAATCGAGGTGTCGCCCCGACGTGCATATCCGGCTTTTGCTCCTATTTACAGTAGATTCATGCCTCTCGAAATCCTCGAAGTGCATTTCGACTGCGCAGGCTCGCAGAATCTGGTGGGCTGGCGCTGGTGCTTGTCGCGACTGCGCTCTCGTTGTGGTTTTGATGGTCCAAAGTCGACTTTTTGTGAGAGCGGTTTTACTTCGAAATGCAGATTTCGTGGCAAGCGCAGCACTTTGAATGGCGATCTTTTACGCGCTCTTATTTCGTGACAGGTGCAGTGAATCGCCCAGATGATCTGGAGACTCCGAGTGCATTCACTCGCCGAATGAGCTTGAATGGGCGTCAGTGACCTCCAGCAGCATGAATGTGCGCAACTCCGCTTTTTTTTTAGAGCCAGTGGAGGCTTGGTCCTGCGCTGTCAGGTCTTGAGTTGGTTGTCCCTGAGCAAACCCTGTGCACACGGCCAAGCAGTCTCAAATACCCGACTTTTCTACATGTGGTTCGCTTTGGGAAATCCAGAGAAGTCTCGAGCGAAAGCTGCGTTTTGGTATCTTGCGGCAAAACGCCTTGGCAGGGCTGCGCCATGTGAATCTTGAAGTGCCGGTTTCGTAGTAGGCGCAGCGCTTTGTGAACCTCGAAGTGCAGATTTCGTGGCAAGCACAGCACTTTGTGAACCTCGAAGTGCAGTGCAGATTTCGTGTCAGGCGGCCTGGCACGGCGCTTTGTGAACCTCGAAGTGCAGATTTCGTGGCCAGCGCAGCACTTTGTGCTCTCAGATGCTTGCTCTCACTCTCTCACTCTCTCACTCACACTCACATTCACACTCACACTCTCACTCACTCACTCTCACTCACTCACTCACTCTCACTCACTCACTCACTCTCACTCACTCACTCGCTCGCTCACTCACTCACTCACAAACAAACAAACAAACACTCACTCACAAACACTCACACTCACACTCACACGCGCTCTCGTTCTCTCTCTCTCTCACACACACACACACACTCACTCACTCTCACACGCACTCACACACCACCACCACGATCTCCACCTTCATCACCACCATCACCTCTCTAGACTTTCTGCTGCGACACCTCTAGACCTCACACATACTGTTTAAGGCCTCTTGCCGGGAAAATTCAGGATTTTTTCTAGGATTGAAACAGGTGTATGCTTCCGCAGGCATCTCAGTCATGCCCTGCTGGACAAAGTGCAAACAGGTACCACGGTAGTGCAGTATATAGGCGGAATAATCGTAAACACATATTTTCACTTCTAGTAATTACAATTCTACTAGGAACAAGTGCATCGCTAGTAGTAACAAGTGCCTTACTGGTAGTAACAAGAAGCTACTAATATCTGCGCTCTGAAGTCGTTGGCCTTGACACCTTCAGACCGTAGGACACACCGATCATGGACCTCCTTGTAAGTATATACAGTACAACCTTCTCAAAGGCTCATCAGTCCTGTATCGGCAAAAACAAAGAAGTCAAGTTTGAGAAAAACAACACCACTATTCCAAATGGTCAGCTCCTTTTACGACTTACCAACAACTGCAAAAGGGTGATTATGGGCCGCCCGACAATCCTTTAGTAGTCGGACTTACACACAGCCCCAACTGAACTATTTTCTATTTCTCTGCACCAAGATTATCTTCCTCGCTGTACATATTTGACATAATTTGACAAACATATACCATAATGTTGGATCCTGATGAATAAAACGATCCTCAATAATGTTTTTCAAAACTAATTCTGAACACCGTGTTTGTTTTGAGGGTCCTCTATTGTGCTATGTTTAAAATCCAAAGCTTTGTTATCTGAAGAATAGTTAGGCCTTTAAATCCTTCTGAGCCCTGTCCACCTGTACTCCCTCCCTTCCCAGGCAAGCAGCAAGCCACACAACAAAACGCCAACAAACAACACAGCCACCACAAGATGCAACAACCCTAGTCTAGCCCTTGGCTGAGGAACGCCTGCTTCCCAATTCCCAACGCCATCACCGTGTTTATACTGTGTTATCAGCCCTTTATGTGAAGAGTGTCCCTAAACAATTTTTCAAGGTAGTAGACCAGGAAGGCCCCTGATCTGAATACTAAATTGGTTTAAGGGGCTCTCAATTGTGAAAAACATGTTTTTTCACCAGTGATCAAAGTTCGTTTGATCTTACATATATAATACTAAACCGATGGCTGGCTTGCTGAGCTTATTGATAAATATGGTTTTCTCTAGTTCTTCTTCAAAAACTGACAGCTCATCAATCCTTTCTGTGAAGATTGCTCCTAAACAAAATTTCAAGGTAGTAGAAGAGGATGGCTGAGAATATCTATATACAAAGAACCTGAGAAAGAACGCGAATCATTACAATCCATAAAATTAAAAGAAAGGAACATTAATACTACAATCAATTGCACAAGGAATCCTCCCAATAATCGTGGTAGTTTATTATAGAGGATCTCCCATTTGCTTAGCTGGAGGCTCTGACGAAGGGGGAGCCCCCTTTACTAATCAGGATCTAACATTATTGTAGATGCGCAGAACCAACATGCGGAAGCCAACAGTTTATTGAGCGTTCTTTACAGTGAGGTTATCAGTTTTCAGAGTTTATCATAACCGCCTATATATGACCTCTGTCATCGAATCTCCAAATCCGACGCCAAAGCCTCTGAGCCGCACTATGTGGGAGCACAATAAAACACAACAAACCCTAAAGGATTCAACGCTCCTTGCTGCGCTGAAATGCAAGTCTTTTTCATCTTCAGCGCTCCTTGGGCGAAATTTCCTCCAAAATCGTCGTCTCGATGCGTACGTCTTGAGTTACCCGGCAGACCTGGGTATCCAAGTTGTGCATCTGGCTTTTCTGGATCCAATTTGTGCATCTGGTTTTTCTGGTGGAGATGCCCACTGTTCAAGTGCACAAACATGTTTGTAGCATGATTGGATATCATGTCATAGAACTCACAATATGGCTGTTGCTGGATTGCTCACCACCACCACCCAACAACAAAAAAAAGAACAAATTCTATCAAATTCTCAATGTGTTTGTCATGCGTTTGATGACAGTGTAGTGTTCGTCCAAACATAAACTCTCTGCCACCAAGTCAAATAACACATGTTTGCGATGCTACATGTCAAAGCCTTTTCTGTTGGAACTGGCTGTATAACAAAACCAACAAGCAAGTAGTTGAGAACAAATCTTCGGAATGGTGTTGCAGGTTCTATCCGCAGAACAACCGGCATTTGGCCCCAAGCTGTTCACCAAACTATATACTATATACCTTGTGTACATCACATAATTACCTTGTCTCAAGCCCAGCTGCTGCCCTCCGGAAGAGCTCAAATGCCTTGACCAAGTCATCCTCTTCGAGGCCAGTCCCAGTGAGCACACTGAAGCCTCCGACCCAAACCCCTCCAATGCTGTGGACCTAAAAACCCACGATCCACAAAATTCCTGCATATTATTCCTGTAGTGGGTCATCCGCTGGCTGTTCGTGGGAACCTTTTCTTTTGGGACCTTTTGAAATGCAAGAATCGGCCTGAACAGAAACTTGCATTCGGTAGTTTTGTTTAAACTGAATTCATCTGAATTCTGTTTTTTTTGACATTCCCACGGTTTTCACGACTGTGGCCAGAAAAATCCCCAAACATGCCTTCTCAGTCTTATCAATTCTCTGGAAAGATGAACAACGGTCAAAACTCGGATATAGACCACATGTTATGTTGCTTGGTCCGGGGTTATGGCATTGAGTGAAAGGTTCTTGAGTGCCGTTGGAAGAGCGTTTTAATTGGAACATGTATGACTGCTCGACTGCTCGAACACCTATTGTGCAGGAACAAATGGGAACAGGAACAGCAAGACATGACAGTGGCCAAACATGCTGACATGGAAATAAACCAACTCAATGTTCAACACAATGGTATTTGTCAATGCTACCCCTCTTGAGCAACCCAAGCGCGTGGGCACTCGCATGGACAACATGTGCAGGGATCTGGTGCAGCGCAACTTTCTGCGACTTGCACACGAACATAATGACTAACATGCACTGTATTGGAAGTAATGTGTTCCACCGTGGCAAAAAACTCTTGCTGGGGATGCTGCGCGTTGAGCTGTCTAAACAACATCGAACGGTGCAAACTGAGTTGCCACTTTCAGAACTTGGAGAAAAGTGCAGCCGCGTTAACGGCCCGTCCAACACTAATTGTTTTTCTCGGAGCTCGCAAAAGGGGATCGGATGAAAGTCTATCTGAAAGTGACCAATGTTGCAAAAAACAGTTTGTGTCTTCAGGCGACACAGCAAAATATCCGCTCCACCAATGCGCAAGTCGCACACCCATCCGCATGTCCACTCGCGCAGTTCTGCCGCACACACGTTTGGGTGACACTCGTCACAGTGTCTGTCCTTTTTCTTGGTAACCCCATTGGCGAATACATGAGCTTAAAGCCAAATTAACAGTGCGAGCGGAAAGCGTGTGTGTGAGTGTGCGTGCGCCGTCACACTGGCATACCCTTGAGCACCCGTCAACAAACTTCGGAACCAATTTTTTATCGGTTTCCACCTTGAAAAAGTCCAGATCAGGGAAGGTTGAAGCCAGTGCATACGCTAAGTGACGCTTCCAGAACAAGTCTGCGGAAACTCCACACATGAAGCGTAGTGTAGCATGTCTCACCGTCCCCAGGATATGGGAATCCTACGCCCTCAGCAATCTATCAGGTAGGTAGGTCAACTCTGTAGGCGATGACCAAGATCTCTGCAGGGAAGCGGCGAGACTCCAACAAACTTTCACATATTTGGGACCAGCTGCACAGCAGCCGCTTTCTTGTGGCAGGTGCGGATGGAAAACGATTAACCTGTGACTTGAGTCTCCGATTTGTCATCCCCCGAGGTGCGGTGACCCAAGCATACCCAAGCATCGGCATAGTTTGTTCTTTCAGATCAGTCGCTTTCTGCGTTGCAAACATCGGAGCTGACAATGGGGAGACACCGTAAGTCACCCGGGCTTGCAGTCACCCCGTTTGCAAAAAGTCACGAGTTGTATGTTGAAAGGTTCATGTCAACCCAAAGAGAACGCATGCTTGGTGTCAAACATGGCCTCGCTGGTGCGAGTGCCGTGCGAGTCCCAGATACCCACCTACCGAGTTCCCACTAGCCACAGGTTGAAGAAGTGGGTACTGTGCTGGGTCTGTTCTTGATTCTCCAAATTACCTAATTAATGTTCCGCATGCAATCCAGCAATTGGTATCACATCAACCTATTTGTCATACGGTGTTGCACTGATACGGCAAAGCTTATCTTACATCTTGTATCGAACCCACACGGAAGCACAGCATCCAAACTCCAAATCAAACAACTTAACACAAGTACTAGTAGCTTTTGGTCGCTCAACAGCTTCATTCTTTCCTTGCTAATCATCTTCATGAGGCTTTCTGATGTGGTTGCAACCGACGTGGCGCCTAGTTCATGCCCAGCACCCTTGATTGGGCCTGAGAGTGCGTCAATTTTGGTTGTTCTACTTGCACTCAAACCAAGTTGCTATACTTGGCATCTGCCAGCTTTTTCAGCGCATCATCCAACATCGCCAACGTGTCCGCCATACTCCTGTTTTTCACGGTCGATCCGACTGCACCTCGATCACCTTGGAGGTGTTTCAGTCAAGACTGATCCCGGGTTGAACGCCAAGGCTACTGAGCAGCCGTCGAATCTCTAAATCCACCGCGTAATCACCGAGCCCACACGAATGTAGTACGTATTCCCAACTGGCCAAGCATCGAGTGTCCCACCCATAAACATTCCCTTTGAAGCACACCGCAGGACCGCAGGACTCATATTTTAACCGCAACTATTTGATTGATGTTTGGCCAGCTCTAGTCACTCTAAAAGCCCAAAAGACCCTCAAGTCTGGCAAACAAAACCCACCCGTCGAGCAAAGGCCACTCAAGCTGATTGCAGGTGTTGGAGTTTGTTCTTGGACAAAAGATGACAAAAGAGAACATAATCGACCACATGATTCCACCAGATCAAACATGCTGCGGTGATCTGAAACAACCAACTCATGTGAACATTACTCTGGTAGAGGTCAATGATGGTAAATGGCTATGGCTAAAAAATAGACAAAATAGACAGGACGTCGCAATTTGTGGACAACTTTTCTTTTGACCAGCGGGTTTGTATGGTACCCTAAGCTGGAGCCATAGGCTTGAACCTCATCGAACCTCAAGACCTCAGTTCCGGGGAGTTACTATACTATAGTTATCTATAGTCTATAGACTCTATAGTTACTGTTAATGAGTAACATACTTGCAATTGTTTAGTATTCCATTGGGTCCCTTCAGCGGTGCAGGATTTTGTCCTAGGAGGATAAGTCTGAACATATCGCCTCAATCTCCCGCCCAAGCCACCAGCTACAGTCTTCTCTTCTACAGTAATTAGATACAAAAGCACATTGACCCAAAGGATCTTGCAAGCCGTACACCTTGCAAATCTCTCACGTGCCCCTGACCATCCCGACCGCCAAGCCGAGTGGTACGCGATGGAAGCGCAGGCGAAACCAGCCTCTGAGGCGCCACTGGCACCTCCGAGGCCTGGTAGCCACCTGCAGGGTCTGGAGGGGGATCAATACATATCAATACAACTCGTTTTGTTCGTCCAAGAGTTGTCCAAATCGTCGAAGTCGAAGCGAGCCGTGGGGACCCTCTCGGAAATGGGCTCGCCCTCCTTTCACTCACTATGGTGGCCTGGCAGGGAATCCTGGATTGGGAGAGCCAGGCCTACACTTTATCTAGCAAACCATTGAGGCCTTATTTATGACTTTCTACCTCTTTAATGTAAGGATGCAGGTCTGTACCTGTTGGTCTTCCGACTTTCTGTCCCCAAACCAAACATGTCGCGTCTGGAAAGGAACATTATCATGCAGGGACACGTTTTGTGCCGATGAGTGCAGCTCTTTCTTGGGCCGAAGGACGTTGATATGAGAGTACTTCGCTCAATCTGACCGCATTGGGGACATACAAAAAGACTGCATGTGATGTAGAGATTCACCACTAAAGCAACTGGGAACACTTTTTTCCGATACAAAGGAATGGTCTAGGTCTAGTCTATATGTGTCTTGAGGCATGGAGAAGGAATCCTGCAACCAGTCAAATCCTTCGCACCTGCCAGGATCCTAAAATTAAGTTACAGCGTAGTTATTAAAAACATCAACACCAAACTGAAGGATTGATCCAGGATGACGCTGATCAAAGTTTCAGATTCTTTATGATTCTTCTCGGCATTTGGCCAACATTGGCCACCCAACATGTTCATCACACGCGACTCGAGACAAAAAGATCTCATCTCGTCCTGTTGCGAGTTTCACAGCGACTTCGAGACAGGCCTTGCGTGGCCGCAGCTTGCGCGGTGTTGGGCTCCTGGCCATCTGGATGTGTTGCTCGCATGCCCTTCAGTGGTCACCCGAGTGAGACAAAGTGAGTTGTGATGAGAAAACATTGAAACTTGTGGCTCCCCAAAGTGAAAAGTATGTCAACCCCCTCTTGAACACTGTGATGTTCTACCACAAAACGTATTGCCACTGTCTGCAGAAACTGCAGAATCATGATATGACACAAATTTGGTTGATTGCAAGCTGCCAGGTCTTAGATCATCACTGCTTAAGGATCTTCAAACAACTGCAGCTTGCATGTGAATATGGGAGTTGCTTGCTTGCCTCAAACTCAAACTGCTCTGAGGAGTATTTTACTCAAGTCAATCGTTGGGATCAAATTCCGTGTCAGATCACTTTCGCCGCTGTAGCCCTCACATCTAGGGTGCGGTGGTTGTCAACGGCATCGTACAAGGTCGGAAGGTGATACTGAGAGTTCTTTCACTTGCCAAAGACTCCACCAAAACAAACAGAATGTGAAGATGAATCAAGATCAGGGAGACTAGAAAGTTGTCCATTATCTAGTCTTGTCTCTTATCTACTTGCTCTACGTCTTGTCTCCCCTTTGGACACGCTGACCCAGCCTCCGCTGCACCAGACTCTGCGGCACCTGGTGCGTGTTTAGCCAACTCCCAAATACCTTCACTATAAGGATGGTCCTCCAGCAGGTTGGGGCCCCACGTCCTGCACGCAGAACGTTTCTTTGCCCGGAGCCTATTGTAAAAAAAACAGATATTTGTAGCAATTAGCTATAGTATAGCATGTAGCTATACAAATCATTAGACTAAATGATGTAAGTATTCTGACTCGGATCTACTCAGGAGGGAAGGAGCTTGTTGCATGCAAACCGTCAACGCCTCCCACAACTCGATGGTTCCGATCCTTGCTGTGAGGGATTGAGCACCCTTCCTTTCCCGTCTTTCCCTTGCCTGTGCTTAAAGGAGCAACAAAGTTACACATCGCACTTACCCAGCGACATGTTTGTTTCCATGGTGTTTGGTGAGACACATGATAGGATTTCTTCCAGAAACATGTTTTTCAATAGGGGAACTACCGAATGAATAAGACATAACTCATCTGTCTGAGCAAAACATACAAACATCTTCAGTTCTTATGTTCTTATACATCAAAAACATGCCTGTCCAGGATGTCTACCAGCGACCGAGCCCATTTCAACTGCCCAACAAATGGCCTTGGACTGCCTCAGCCATCGCAGCCGCTGCCTCACCACCAACGGTTGGCGAAGGGGGTCTGAAGAGTTGAGACTCGCAAAACGACTTGTAGCGGAAGGGTGAAAGACTATGTGCAGATATGTGTAGCACAGCATAGCTGTTTTGAAAGTTGGAGTCTTTGAAAACTAGATGTCATGATCCTGCTAGGCCCCAATCTGTTGAGTGTTCATCAGCCTGCTTGTAATATAGCTGGTCTCATGTCACGAACCCTTTGTCGCGAAGGGCAGGGTGAAGATCCCTGACACATCGAACCATGGACACATATGGGGCACCATAGACTAATCTATTTATTGTTTCTAATATATAGCTTCTTGTTACTAGTAGCGATGCCCTTTGCTCCTAGTAGTAAGGCCAGGAGCCCCTAGTAGCTTCATGTAGCTTCCATAGACCCTATAAATCCACATACCATGTGAGAGGCCTCTATGTAGGCTTGGATGGTCGAAGCACCTTCGGAGAAGGTATGTGGACCCTAAGTACGTTCGACACCAACACCACGCTCCTCCGGTCTGACCGCCAGCGACAGCAAACGTTGGTTCCACAAATCCAGCCTTGGCCATCTCTTCTGGCCAGTTAGGCCTGGCAGGAGGTCCTAAGATCATCTAAGATCCTCATCCCAACCGCAGTGGGTGCTATCAGTTTTCGCCACTTCCGGCTCCAGGTATCGACTCCGGGAGTTCTAAAGATCTGCGTCCTCGATTTAGACATGCCGTCAATGGTTCAGTCCAATGTATCGATCGATTCCATGATGTATGATTGTATGATGCAAAATGTACTAAAAATAATATGATAGTGGTGTCGGCACCGGCCACTTTGGACCTCACTGATGAACATCAAAATGGATCCAAATGGTTTCATTCATGATCCCATCCACATGCCCTACAGACCCATGGTGACATGAGACATGAGCCTCGGACCCGTGCTGGAGAATTCCGGGAACGGTGAACCCCTTTGCTACTATAGTAGCTTCTTGTTACTAGAGCTACTAGTAGCATCCTTGCTCCTGGTAGCGATGCCCTTTGCTACTAGTGGCTTCTATGTGGATTTTCCACCTTCAAGGTGACTTGTTGGGAGCTTCGAACATGGACTTTTGCTCTTGCCTCAAACGACAGTTTACTCGGAAGAACAGTGGTATACTTTAACATATATTATACACATCTAATCAACATCAATCAACTGAATTGCCGAGACGAACAACTCAATACTTGGGACTCAAAGAAGCCCATCCATTGACAGGTGTCTTGCAGTTGGCCATGCATAACCTGGAAGTCCAAGGAACCCATTTTACCCAACCCAGACCCAAACCACCAGAATATTATGGTACAAGGCCAGCTGTGTCCGTGGTCTCAGGTGTCGGCCACTGTGTTTGTCATACGACTCAAACGACTCGTCAGTTGAAACATGTCTGGGGCAGTTCCTGCACTCACGGTGGAAAAGATTTCTTGAACTTGAGCTCACTTGACCCCTGACATCACCAGTTACAAGTCTTGAAGATCTTCAAGCATGGTGGGAACTGGTGGGAGTCACAAAGAAATGTTTTGCCTCGTGGAGCTTCTCTCCCCTGCCTTAAAGGTTCGGCCGCCACCGCCCAATCTGGTTGTTGGAGCAGGATCTCTAGGAGGCTCATGACCTGGTGAGGGGAAACCCTGGAGCTGTGGATTCGTTGAGCAACCAAGTGGTGAAGAGACCTTGATTGAATGGACAGAACTTGATAGCCAGCAAGTTGGGCATCTGGACATGAAGCTGTCACCGTCCTTTGTTTGTTCTCTTCCAAACTAGTAGCACGTGCATCACTACTAGTAACAAAGGGCATCGCTGCTAGGAACAAGTGCACTTCTACTAGTAACAAGAAGCTACTAGGAGCTCCTGGCCTTACTACTAGGAGCAAGGACGCTACTAGGGGCTCCTGGCATCGCTACTAGGAGCAAGAAACTACTAGTAACAAGAAGCTGCCATACTGCACGGTTCCCCTGGGCCTGACGATGATAGAGCCGCTTCTGTTCGTAAAAGCTCGCCAAGAAGTTCAGCACATCTGCCTGGCGTTGATTGGAGAACTGCGAACACCTGGGCTAAAAGAGAGAGAACCATGAAAATATTTTTCGTTGTTTAGGGGGGGGAGGCCATCGCTCTTAGGTTGGAGGCCATAACCATACCAAACCATCCATCGGGTTTGCTGGGGGTTTGGGAGGATTTTGGAGGTCTTCTGTCTTGTGTCATACCTCGGAGCAAAAAAAAGGCACATCACTCTGGGGAAGGGAAGTCGCCGGTAGAAACCCTGACTGTGCACCGAGCGTTTCCATGTGGCCTTCTTCTCCCAAGCTGCCAGCTGCGCCGGCGCAGCGTGCGCACAGGCACGCCGAAGGGCAGTGAAGGTGTCCGCGCAGGTCTCGGCGTCGAGGGCATCCTGCTGGGAGGCCTTGGAATCAGACGAAGCCATAACGGCGCTGGTCTTGGTGCTGAAAGAAATACTGGGAATGCTGCAACCTCAGCTACGGGGTTCGAGGTGCAATAATGGCAACTTTAAGCTCTTTCCCTCTGCTGAACAAACAACACACATGGACACGGCACACAACTCTACAAGCACCCCTTTCATCTTTCTTTGGTCTATATATGTGCATCAAACCCTCTCCCAAATCACCATTGACTGGTAGAAAAAGGTTTGGCGAACTAAACAAGTGAGTGGCCGTCCGTTCTTCATCTACGATCAAACTCTTGAATTTGAATCATCGGGCTTGGCAGGGCGGTCAACAAATATCACGGAATGTGTCACTTCTGTCTCTCCAAAACATTTTTTTCAGTGTGGCCTGATGCAAAGCTGCCTCCAATGCTGCATCCATGTGCACGGGCTAGTGCTTTGTTGGCACTTGTGTAACACTGTCTATCTGAGTACTAGTTCTTGCCAGGATGAACGAGAACTGACAGGAGGTCCAAAGTTGTCAAAATCAATCTGGGCAATTACCAAAGTGAAGTCAAATGGCCCAACTCCCATCTGAGTAAAGGTATCCTTTCGTATCATGTTGTGTCATGTGTTCGCAGCCTGTTATCATGGATATGTCTTCAATCAACAACTTTGAGCCTAATGATGGACTACCATGACTGCACAAGCTTGCAGTCTGTGTGATCCAAAGCTGCTGCGCCGTGTAGAAACGAACACGCATCCAAATATGTGAGATTTGGTGACACTTGAAAGTGCACAGTCTCATGATTTTGTCTACTATACAAGTTCTGCATGACTCCATGACATCTTCTTGTGTATATATATATATATATGCGTACCTGTATACAGTTCCTCTACGCGAGACTTATTCACCCCAACCACTGACAGACCAACCTATGGCCGCACACAAACAAATTTGTCTCAATCGACTCAGAAAACAAATTGGTGTAATTAATCATCTCTTTCGCACATTTGTCAGCACTTTTGACAACACACCTTCTAGTGCATAATTGACCAGTTCACATTTTCTGTTTACATTATTGCTTTTTGTTCATTTGACGAAAACAATATCATACACCAAACATATCCACACACAAGTCCCCAGGTTGTTTCACATCATGTCTCAATTTTATTTGTTTGAGGATGTTTCAGGATGTCTTTCAATGACTCTTTGAGGCTCCCGGCGAGTCGAAGAATGTCCTGAGCAAACCGGTTTGGACTGCGAAGCACCGAGCTAGACGAGAGCCTCACAATCCAGGTTGCTCTCACTGGTAGAGGCTCCCAAGTAGGATACAAACGTAACAATTCCCTCTGCCAATCCAGTCTTAAGTCGTTTCTACAATTTGGACTCTTCAATTTGGTCTCCAAGACCTCAGATCTCTATACAATATGTAGTATTTTTTTTTAAATGTCCACAAAAACTGTCTGATTCTCTCTTGTTGCACCCATTTTGAGGTATGCGTGTCTGCACATGTCTGCAAATGTCCAGGTTGCTCTTACAGTGACCTGTCGGATGATGGCATTCCATTAGCGTTCTGCCACTTTCGACCGTAAAGACCTTAGAAGGGCCACTCTTTGGGTAGTTCCAGTCCCACACTGGAATGGTGAAACTATGTGAAACTGACATGACCTCTCAAACCATTTCCCCCCACCGCCCTTGCAAAAGTTCGGCCAAGCAAAGGCTCTACCAACGCGCGAAGTGGGACTGCCTGGGAAAAGACAGAGCCTGAATGCCACATGCACCAAAATAGGGATTAGCACCAACACCCAAGTATCGTGGTAAACCTAACCCACTGCAACACACTGTGACAGTTCCAACGTGGCAGGGCAGCCCAAGTCTCTGAAGCTCACAAGCTCACCGTTTAATATGTTAACCACACTTCGAGCGGCGCATCGTTCCATCGATTGGTCGCAAAGACCTGCGCGGCCGATCGGTGGACAACCACACGGGCGGTGTGCTGCTACATTCCGCTGACAGAATGGTCCCGTGCGACCATAACCCAAACACTCCTGGAGTATACAGCCTATATTTACATTGACCCTGACACCACCACAACGATGTGGGAAAATAGTACGGAGATATACCGAGTGCTTGGGTACGTTTGGTTCTATGTGTGTAGATCTGTCAGTGTCTGACTTCTGCGAGGGTTCCCACCATCCACCCCATCCTAGCAGTTCTGCAAAGCAACTAGGGTACTATGACTACAGACTTCTGCCAAGGGTAGAAAAAACAAAGCTTCTGCGAACTGAACGCACAAATCGATTCTGCTGTGACCTCAACGAGCTTGTGCAAAGGACATTTCGGATACTTGGCTTGACTGCAAACCCATTTGCTTTGGTCCTGAACTTCAAGATGGGCAAACAGTGTCAAACAATTGTATATGTAACACAGTCTGGATCCAAAACAACATGACGCTTCATTGAGGGGTGAAGCTCGCCATGCTGTTACATGAGCAAACTCCCACACTTTGGCAACCAAGCCTGAATACTTGACACGCTTATCTTGTTTACAAATGGAAGCGTTGATTTGGGAAATCTTAGCAGATTTTACATGTTTTGGCAAATTCTTTACTAATGTAAATGCGTGACATCTACATGTCTATTTATCTTTTTTTTAACAGGTGGAAAGGTGAAACCAAAAATTGCCCATGATCGACCTGTTGGGGTGTTCGACTGGGTGACCTCCGGTGGGGCTACACATTTTAGCATTTGGACTAGGTCCACCTTTGTCGGATGACACTTCACACCAGACAAATAGAACATACAAAATCTGGGGCAAGAAACCAGCTGCAGGATCTGTAGAAAAGCCCCTGCAAATGTTAGATCATATCATACGTAACATCTTATTCAGATTTATTCAGTACCCATGAGATGACAAAGCAACCTCTGGATTCTGTTGCAATTGAATCTACAATATGACCCTCTTGTGCCACGACACCTGCATCTTCAAATGTCTCGGCGTGTGATCCCTGGTGCAAGGTACCCTCCCCAAGACCAAACTAGCAACTTGCAAGGGGTTGAAACATGATTACTCTGCTTTCCTCAAGAATGCATGATATTCTAAAAGCTTGACGTCTAGGAAGGTTCTTAAGTTAAGTAAGTAGGCTGTGATCTCTCTAGAAATTGTCAAAAAAAAGACGCTGAAACTGTCACATAAAGCAACTGGACTGCATCTGGTCACCTCCCGGCTCATCAACAGCACCGCGCAAGAGCACCACCCGGTCAGCCATGCCTCTCGCTGCTCTGCGCGAGCCAATGCCATGCACAGCGTGGCTACACGTGCCATGACACCTAGGTCGCTTGTTGCAGCAGCATAGGCAAATATCAAGATATCAACGCTGCTGTGTACCGATCTTTTCTTTCCATGAGGAAGAACTGTGAAACGACAAAGTAATATCAGGTGGCTGCACACGCATCAAGCAAAGTTCGCCCTCCAACGCAAAGACCTCTTCTCGAAACCGAAGAGGGATTTGAACTTCCAAATGAACTCTCCACTCAGGGCCAGGGCTGAGCAATTCAGACGGATTCATGTGGAATCTCCAAGTTACAAATTTTAACAAAGTCAATAATTACCCTGATAAAAAAATGAATTGCACCAGGAATCTTGAGCCTCTATCAATGAATAAAAGCCAAGAAAGGCATCAAAGACCAGGTGTTCACCACATCTATCTTCCCCTAGTTCCCAACTTGCCTCCAACGAAGTCCTCAAACACTTCGGAAACAAGGTCCGCGCTAGGGACAGCGAAAAGCTGAGTCTCCCGACGAAACCACGATGGGTTCAGGTTCACTCTCGGAAGACCCGGGCAATTCAGGGCCCGAGAAGTGTGGCTCGGGGGTTGAGCCCTTGAGCCATCGTCAAATGGTTCATTGAAGGTTGCTCAAACAAAAGTTGGAGCGACAAACAACTGGCTGTCCTTGCATTAAAATCAGGCTTTGAGACCTTAGCACACATGGGCACTGGCTAAGCTTGCGAATGGTTGTTCCCTAAAGTTCTAACCCACATCTATCTTTCAGTGAACCATCCAAATCATCCAACGGTGTATATTTTTCGTTTGTTCTCTCTGTGGCAACGGACCTTTTTGGCTGAGCAAGACGGGTGGTCTTTGGCATCAAGGCAACGTGCTGCCGTGAAGGATCCCTTTATAGCTTCATAGACGAAAGGATCGCAACGGATAGTGCCCCCTGCTGTAACATGGAACAACACAAATTATATTGCTGCTGTGTCCTTTCATTGAGAAACATGTTCTATCTCGTCCATATTTCTGGCGCACTTGCACCATAGAACCTATCTGTCTCCCAACCCCAATCTACAACCGTGTGATGATGAGAATGCTGATGAGATTGACGATGACGATGACGACGATGATTATGACAACCATGATGACTGTCAATCAAGGTCTTGCGGAACCAGTGACAGCTGTGTCTTAAGTGTTGCACAGCGCAACAAAAGAAAACGTTTAACGATATGATCTAATAGAACTTAAGTGACAACAACTTTTATAACTCTAGATCTAAATGCCCGCAACTGCGAAATGGGATCCGACTCCAATTTGGGCTGTTCCAGTTGGTCTGTCCCATCACACCCTCCACGTTGCATCGGCTGGTCTTTCTCACAAGACTTAACGTCGATCTTCAGGTTTAACTACACTACACCATTACGCCAGTCCACAGTGCACAACTACACCTAAACACTAAGACGGCATATGTCGTGTTGTTGGTGTTGATATGATATCTTGCATGAGTACAGTAAATATGCACATCGAGGTACTATGTTGAATTCTACAGAAGCTTAAAAACAGATCTCTTGTCTTCTTCCCTTCAGCATTGTCCAGTGTCTTAACATGCTTGGGGGCACCTCGCAAAGCGGAATTTCAATATGTTTTGAACCACCAGAAACCTCAACCCCAAGGCGAAGGACATTGCAGCTAGGTCATTGCTTCGAGAAACCAACTGTCCCTCAGTCCTCAGCTATGAAACAAGCAGTTATATAACTATATAACCAAACATTTAACCTGCTCTTTGCATCTGCTCATATTTTGCAGGGGGTAGGCGAATACCTTTTACAGTTATGTCATGCCGAATCCTCAACTGCCTCTTTGAAGGGGACCCCCACTTGAAGACTCCTTCACGGTCAACCGAGTCCTTAATGACCTTCCTAGCATGCAAAAGGGTACATGTTCAATGACGATCCTCCTTGCTCTGGCAAAACTTACTTTAAATCCCGGCAGTGTGAACGTGCAGGAGTTCATCTGCACAGTATAGTTCATCTGTATGACGGCTGCTAGTGGCCTTTCGTTAATGGGAGCAAGGCCTACCTACATGTTTCTCTTCCAACGGGCAAGACACGAAGCGACCTGGACGCGGTTGCCATGACTGCCAACATGTTTGGCCTGGGGATCC